AATACCTGGAGAATCAGGGTTGAGGAAGACCCAGAGGACTTGGTCATTTTTTCCATTTCCTCCAGACGCGAGGTTGACAGAATAAGACAACCCTGCTTGGGAGGCACATTCTTTAACGCAGCCAGGAAGATTCTGGAACAAACTGAGCCACACATCAGTCTAGGAGAATTAGTCTTAATGCCCTGGGTCACCATCTACATGTCTCCACACAGCAAGAGTTATGTGAGGGCTATATGTTCCACTGTCAGACCAACCTACTCCAAGGATTAGATGAAACAATCCCAAATGAATTTCCAGGCCCTGGTAAGTTAAATTAATAATCCATTCACTCGGTCCATCCAAATCCCAGGTCTGTGAAAAACACCACTGTATGGCTAGATCAATGCCAGGCTGGTTTCTAGCAGCAAGTGACCTTGAATCTCTCCCACCCATGTGGAGCTGACCAGAGCTGGCTGAAACAACTAGCAACAAGTGGCCTTGAACCTCACACACACACCTGCGGAGCTGACCAGAGCTGCCTATGTAAAGCAGCTTTGCAAGGTTTCTTTCTTTCTTTTACTCAAGGACCGTTTGGCTCTCTGCCCACCGCTCTGCACCTGGCATGGCCCGTTTGGCTCAGTGCCCACTTTGATCTCGGTCCGCCGCTCTGCACTCGGCACAAATACACCTGGAACCAGGAAGACACCTTACAATCCAGAAATCCGACATACCTGTATCTCCCAATCCCTGACTACTTTACCTTATATGGACTCAAGGAAGCCCAGTCACATGTTTCCCGGCTATATCAACACCACTCCTGTAGTCTGGATTTTTCTCCCCAATAAAGCCTGTTTGCTCAAATCAACTGATTTGGTCTCTGGCACCTTTCGACTACCTTACAACCACCCAGTGTCTTTTAAAAAACATGCTCCAAGGTTTCAAATTTATGAAACAAACATGTTTTTTCCTATTTAAAATTCATCTTCTTTTACCCAACAATTTAAACCTGAGAATAAAAGGCACAAAAACAATTAACAACCAAAAGAAATCTTCTGATCAGACATGCAGTCATTCTGATTTGTTACTGTGAGGCTAATAGCCAGCAACCCAGACACCTGGTGGGAGGAGAGGAAGAAAATAGAATGCGAGAAGGGTTGAGGGGGAAATATAAGGACACACACACACACACACACACACACACACACACAACCAGACTAACCAGGTTACACAAAACGACCAACAGCCATAGATCCAGAAAGTTTCTCATGACACCAATCCCCATACTTTGGGTAAACAGAGCTCAATTCCATTGGAGATCCAACGTTGCAGGGCAACAACACATAGTTTGCAGCTCAAGGTGGACCTACTCCCATAGACTCTTCATTACATCATTACAGACAATGTCTGGAGTGCTATGTCTTTGGAAAAATGTACGATGTTATCCTTGCAACCGCCTTATACCCCAGGAGTATAATTGACAATGTCCTATTTTCTTTTTTTTTTTTTTAGGGTGCATTGAGTTTTTATATATACATTTTATACGTGTTTATTACTTAATATATATTTATTTAACATATATTTCAAATCATTTTATTGGGGGCTCATACAACTCAACACAATCCATACATCCATCGATTGTGTCAAGCACATTTGTTACCATCATCATTCTCAAAACATTTTCTTTCTACTTGAGCTCTTGTGTGGGATAAACAATCTGGTGGAGAAAACAACGGGACCTGTGATTCCAGTGGGGACATGGGAGAGGGGGAGGTGGGAGAAAGAGAGTGAGTGCTAAAAAACGCAGGGAAAAGGGGACAAGTGATCCAAACTCAATGGCGAGGAGGGTGTAGGAGGCCTGCTAGAGCTTGAAGCGGTGCAATGGAGCCAAGAGGAATTACTGAAACCCGAACTTTGGTTGAGCATGATAGTGGGATACGAGGAAAATAAAAGGAAATAGAGGAAAGAACTAGGAGGCAACGGCTATTTGTAGAGGTCTAATTACAGGCATGTGCACATGTAAATATATTTATATATGGAAATTGGGGGAAAGATCTATGTGCATATATTTATAGGTTTAGTATTAAGGTAGCATATGGACATTGGGACTCCACTCAAG